GAATTCATGTATTTGTGATTTGATTTCTATTTGATCAAGTATTTGTTCAGTCTGTTATACGATTTCTGTACGGCTATTCGAATAACTGCTTCTGATGTATTTTCTGAGGTGAATTCTAGAGATTTTGATGGGCGATTGTAGTCTTGCTGAGCTGTTAGCTCATCCTTATTTTCTGCTTGATTTTCAGGTTCTGGGAAAGGGAAGGAAGTCTTGAATTAGCCGTTCAGTGTCTGATCAGTGATTAGGTATTTTTGTATTTTTGATTTTTGTACAGTCATGGCTTTTCTGTTCTGTTCTTTCTGTCTGTAGCCATGCACTGTAATATATATGATTATTTTAATGAAAGAAAGAAGAAAATAGTTGATGATTATTTTAATGAAAGGAGTTAATAACAGCTCTGTGTTTCTGTTTGTTTGAATATTTGGAAGAAAGTTCTTAAGCAAATTCCAAAACTAGATCCTGGATTTTCAATATTTGTCGCGGCCCGATGCGAAGGAATTCGTTCCGGTCGGGTTGGGTCGTGATAGACGCGATGGGGTTGGGAAGACCATCCATCTTCGTACAGTGTTTCGGCCGGTACCAGACTTGCTCTTTTTTGTTGAGAAATTTGTAACTCTGCTTCTGGGTCAAGTTGACTTTCCAGTGTTGGGTGATATGAATTCCTTTTTGGCATCCTTCTTTGTAGCTCATAGGCTAGCCGGGATCTAAGGCGATATCCACGAATCTGGTCTTCAACAGTGTTGGAATGTTGCGGTGGATTGGTAACAGAAAGAGATGGTAGTAGAGTCGAAGTGGTAGATCGTGATGACGAAGCCATCTAGACGGCTTTCTGTTTCTCTGCAAGAAGTATTTTCTTTGGGTCTTGGAAGGCAAATAGCTGTCCTTTTGTTTTAAATATTTTTGGGATGGTCTTATTTTCTCCAATAGACAAGTTTTGTAATTGTGTTTGTAGAGACGAGAGGGATTGCTCAAAGGAATGAGCTGTTGTGATAGGGGAAATTTGTAATTTCCTAATTTGTTCCTCTAAATCTCTAACATTTTCAAGATTTTGTAACAACAGGTGTATAATAGTGTTGTTCTACTTAATTAAAGTGTTTAAGCAAGTAGCACTACTATTACAACTTTCAAATGGATTAACGAACCCAAGTGCAGGGAGTTCGATATTCTCTGTTGGCTTTAATGCAGTCTTATAATTAGCACTGGAACTAGATAGTCGCCAATCGGACATGAACTCGTCAGTGTATGAGTAGTTCATTTTATGTTTTCCCTAAAATCGTGTGGTTTTACTGTTAACAGATTCAATATCCATACTAAGTTCCAGTGTAATCTTGAATTATCATGTTCATGTCAGGCCAGCGCCTACTGTTCTCGGCGATCTCAAGTGGCCACGCGGATTACTAACTTATAAATCAAGGCACCGCGTCTTAGTTTGGAATTATTTCCTTTAACAAGTAATCCCAGTTAATTCTATTGCCAGTATTTTACTCATGTAACTTCTTAGTTTTTGCCCAATTAGGCTCTGATACCAGAGAGTTTTGCTTTTAGGATCGTGGGCTTGGGGTTTACAGAAATCAGAACAACACTATTATAAGGACTCCCCACCACCTTCCAGGAGACGATGGAGTGCTCAGGGAAATGGAAATGACGGTAGAGATAATTAGTAAGTGGGGTATCATCGTCGTATTTAGAATTACTAGAGGGTTCAGGGGATGGATCCCAGAGTGGGGGATCAGAGCAGTGCTTTAAAAATCGGATCGGACCGGCACATTGGACAGGCCGATTTTGGGTAGAACTGCCGGTTCAACCGGTGAACCGGTGAACCGGTCCCAGTTTTTTAAAACCGGTCGGTTCAAGTTTTTTTATTAATATTAGTTAAATAAATTATATAATATTAAATAAATATTAAACTTAATCATTATCAATATAAATATTAATATTAAAACTCTTAAATTAAATTAAACACACTATTATTAGGGTTTAGGGTTTAAAAAATTTTAAATATTTTTTAAATAAATAATTTAACATATATATTTAAAAAATTTAATTAATAATAATATATCTTTTATTATAAAACATTTATCTCCACATGCATCATGAAGCATTTCACATGGAGTGGTGGTACATGTGAGCTCTTAACATAAGAGAACTCAAAATGCTATGTAAACAATAACAAGAAAGTCTTCTCAAGTGGTGTGGGACTAAAGAAAAGAGTTGAGATGTAAATGAACTCATAACATATATAATGCATATAAAAACTATTTTTAAACAAATTTTTTAATTAATTATTTTTTATGTAAATGAAACTTATTTATTAGTTAATAATAAAAAATTATTTTTTTATACACTATAAAAATAATTATCATTAATAATTTTATGTTAAAAATTTAATTATTTATTAATATATTTAAATATAATGTATAAAAAGAAATTTGATATACAACATAAACATGTAAATATATTTAATCATTTAATATATAATAGAATAATTTATATTAAATTTATAAACTATGTTATAATTAAATTTATATTAAATATTGTTTTATATTAAATTATATGGTTATATATAATTTAATTACATTAAAAATTAAATTTAAAATTCAAAAAATATTTAAATTTAAAATTATCATATTTTTATGAGTGTAAATTCTTATAAATATGAGATTTAGAATTTTTTTCTTTTATGTGAGATTTAATATAATTCTTTACTTAATTATATAAAAATTTATTGCATAGTTTTTTCTTTTAATTTAATTTTTTGCCTGAAAACTTTGAATGATAACAGTATTATTTATGTTAATTTTTATTAAATTTAATTAATATTATTATTATACGTCATCGTTCGACCCCAATTAGACCGGCTTGAAACAGGCTCGAACGTGATACCTCTCCTTCTTCCGGTTCGTTGTCCGGTCCGGTTTCACAGCCTTGGATTAGAGTCAATAGTCATAAGAGCAAATTCATCAGTCTAGAGGAAAGATCTTCAAGAGGTGACGAGGTTGGGAACAGGTTGAGGGGTGTAACTGAAAAAGGAGATCAAGAGATCCATCAAGGCGTTGATGAGTATGGAGAGCTTGGGAACGAGAAGTGCCAAGGTGCTATTGGAGGGTCGGAGATTCCACGAATGACCTTGGAGTTCGAAAATAGTGTGCGTCTTGTCAGGAATGACTAAATGTCATGGGAGGCTAAATAATGGCAACGCCGGATATATTATAACGGAATCCAGTATGGCTGGTGTTAGTGAGACGAGCCATTAGAGCATGAGTACCCATGGCTGTCGACAATGATTCTTTTGTCAGGTTGGGTCGACTACCTCCTCTGATAAGTTAGACCAGGGACCACGATGGCCGGGACGATGGAACCATGAGATACTTGATCGGTCCATCATCTATTCTCCCCCATCTGTTTAAGTGCAGGTGCTAAATTTTCCATTTTAAATATCAATTCAATCATTTCTGGAACGTTCATGCTGCTACTATATGCCAGATAACACATATTTCTAGGTATCTGATTGACGACTAGCCTTAATCGAAAGTTCTCTCTCATGATTGGGAGGCGTAATTAACTATAGGGGCTTGCGCCTATAGGAAACCAGAACTCAGATCATAAAGTCCTCGTAAAATGAGGGCGAAATATCTACAAACCCATCTGCCTTCCAAAATTTATCCCAAAACTTATTCCGTTAAAACTCCCACGAAAAGAAAAAGCAACGGTCGAGTGGAGGCCGGGGCCGAATTTTTGGAGCCCACACTTATACTCAACATAGATGACAGAAAGTTGAAATCAAATTAAATTGTCCTTCTTAGTCTCCTTGAAATTTAAAAATTTTGATTTAATATCTAAAATATTGAATAGGGTAAATGTTTCTCTATTAATTTTTTTGAAGAGATATCTTGTAGTATTGAAGTCTGTAAGTGCTCATGATTTCCAAGTGTTGATGTCTTCACCGTATTAAGTTCTTATCTTCCAAAATGTAAGAATACACTATATTATACCGTTTCTTTGTGTTAACACTCAGAGTTGTAGCAAGAAGAACATAAACAATTTAGAAATTGAAAAAACCAACAAAAATTTCAAGTGACAATTTTTATAAGAAATCAGAACAGCTGCTTCAATGAAGTTTGGCTCTGTAATCAGTAGAGCCAAGATCACAATGATCCCGAGCTTGAGCCAATGCAGACAAGCTTTTGAGAGTCTTCTCAACCAAAATTTTATAAACCCAAAGCTATTAAATGACTCAATTGTACACCATACCCAATAAGGGAATCTTACCTCAGTATCTTAATAAGATAGCTATTTAAGCTTTTTATAAAGCTACTTTAATACTGAGAGAATCTTCTCAGCTCCACCGATTATCTTTATAGCTTTAATCAGTGATCTACTATCGATAAGAAAAAAAAAAACTTTCTACTATGTTGTATTATAACTTTGTTTGAGTTTCTTCTCCCATCTATATGAGGGAACTTTTACTTTGGAAGTGTGTCATAAGCGACCAGGAAAGTTGTTGTTCTTTCAGAGCTCTCTCCTGCAAGGAAAATTATTATGTGCGGATGTCGAACGTCGTCCAGACCAACTAGAATGTGCCACATCACCCCGCTCGGTACCGCAGCTCGGTGTCGTGCTAGGTACCGCTCGGTACCGTGCTTGGTACTACTGACGTGATGCATTCTGATTGGTCTCCGGATGATGAATTTCGTTCTGCATCCGCACAGAATAATTGCTACTCAGTCTCTCTGCAACTTGCAGCGCAATCCTCCATGTAGAATAGTAATACTTTTAAAATTTTTGTGACCATGACTGATTGTAATCCCTAAACCTTCTACTAACTTAATATACAGTCAGATAGAGCAATTAGTAAAAAATTTCTGTCAATCGTCTGTGTAGCAAATCTAATACTAGGATTTCATGCTGTATTTGATTGAACTCATTTTATTTTGTTTAAATTTTCTTACTGTTATTGTACAAACACAGAAGGTTATATGATAGAATTGATCTATCTACAGACTTGAAGAGGCAGAGATCATTGTATCTTCATCAACCTGATTCTGCATAAACGAGATGATCCACATGTTTAAAGCCAGTGAAAACCAGCTAAAGCTGAGGGGAAAGGTCTCATGTACGGCAAATTATTAGGTGTGGCACCAGACATAGAGAATCATTTGGAATTCTTCTGTCTACAATAAAATCGCAGTTACTGTAGCAGCAATGCTTTGACTGTGCTTTTACTGTAGATAAAAAGAAATTCAGATGATTCTCTCCGTCTGATGTCTGCACCTAATAATTTCTTCTTATGTACATTCTACAGTCGCATGAATGGCAAGAGCTGGTTCTCGGATTTTTCATCATGTAACTACATCTCAGCACAGAATGTATCAAATTTCTATATTTTGTGCAGGATTTGCTCAAGTTCTAGCTTTTCTGTGCATGAATTTGAAGTAAGTTTTGTAAAAATTATAAGAGTGTGTTTTGCTTTCCTCCTGAAGTGGAATGTATGAAATCAGCCTGTCATAGTTTCATGTAATAAAACTATTGTGGTGTTTCATTCAGTTTAGGGTTTAGGAGAGAGTTCTAAAAGATTTAATACTATTGAGGCTTATAATAATTATGGATCATCTTGCAAAGAGGAGGGAGCAGAGCAAATGTAGCACTTTTGTAGGATTGGCATAATAGGTATGATACTGTAAAAAAAAAAAAAAGAGAGGAAAATAAAATGTATATAATAACTAAGGCCAGATATAAGAGATCTAGAGCCTATCACCAAATTAGATGCATTATAAGTAAATAAAGTAGGATTTTGCTTAAAAATAAAGATATAAAGAAATATGAAAGCAATGCTTGGAGAAAATTTAAAATGAGAGATTTAAGATTGATATATAATTGCAAATTAATCTTGATCGGGCACGAATTTTGAGGCAAATTTGAGTTTGAAATTTTCAAAATTAAATACGAGACCATTCGAACTCTAATTTCAGCAAACTTATAGTCGAACTAAACATCTCGAAAAGATGAACGCAAAGACTTTGGAGCGGCCCAACCAAGTCCAAATGGATCTAAATCGAAGACCCGAAGCGGATTTTGAAGGTTCAAACCATAAATTGGATGGTGAAATGGTTTCCAAATGTGAAATGCTTATAGTCAAATTGAGCAACTCGACGAGATGAATCCAACGAGCCCAAGATTGTTGAATTCTAGTATAATTAAGATACTCAAATGCTCGATAAACGGTCTATGATCAAATGAGTCAATATCAGCTGTACATTCAAAATACTCCCAACATACTCTTGATCTTATCCATATTTATTGGCCAAGCCAATTCCAAAAAAAGTTATTCTTCATTTAAAGGGGACCTATAGAAGTAAGAGAAAGAAGAGAAGAAATGAAGATAAATCAGAATTCTCTTGCCACCAGACTCCTCGACAACTGATAATCGTCGAACTTGCCATGTCAATTCCATATTTACTCGATAAATGGTCTATGATCAAAGGAGTCAATATCGGTTGTCCATTCAAAACACTTCTAACATGCTCTTGATCTTATCCATATTTAATGGCCATGCCAATTCCAAAAAAACATTATTCTTCATTTAGAGGGGAACTAGAGAAGAAAGAGAAAGAAGAGAAGAAATGAAGATAAATCAGAGTTATCTTGCCACCAGACTCCTCCTCGACAACTAATAATTTCTAAACTTTTGCCAGACTTTTGCCAGGCCATCGAATGGCGTTGGACTTCTGCTCGACCACTAGCTATCGCCAAACTTCCTCCCGGCCATCAACTGACATTGGATAAAAATATTTTTTTTTCTCCATTATGAAGAACAACAAGTTCTATTAAGAGCCAAATTCTCATAAGAAGAACAACAAGTCTAACAATGACTATGATATAAAAGAGGCGAATTACCTAAGTTTTGGAGAACAAATTTAATTTCATGCAATGAGAATCTACTAAGTAAGAGGATTTTTTTAAGGAAATTAATAAAGGAGTATAAAAAGCGAATGAAAGGAGCTTTGGACATAGTCATTAGTAGTGACACAATCATTAAAATAGATGAAAAATTATAGTAATGAAAAATATGTTCATATTACAGAGAACATAAAATTAGTGGAATAAAAATTGAAAAAATTAATATATAATTTTGTGGTTTTGATATTAATAATTATCTTTTAATATCATTAATATATAATATTAAAGAATGCATATATATATATATATATTAGAGTGACATATACTGTGATAATAAAATTAAAAATAAATTTAATTCTTTTAGACATCCACAATAAAGAGTAATAAAAATAGCATTAAATGAATAGATAAAATTATTATCAATGGGTTAGGGAGGAGAAGAGGTAGAGTTAAGATTACATGGATAGAAGACATGCAAAACAAATATATTTAGCACCTCAATCAAAACTCTGTTGGAATGAATAGAAAAAAAAAAGATTTGATAAAGTCAACTACAAATAGTTGGGATAACGCTAATGAATGATGATGATGATATTAGAAATATATTTCAAATATTTTTTTAATTGAAAGCAAGCATAGGGCTAGTTACTGATAAGTAGTCACAAGATCAATTAGAGATTAAGGGTTCATTTGGGACGGATTTCTTATTGTTTTTTAAAGTAGTTTTCTAGTATAAAAATTAAAAATTTGAACTAAAAAGCTGTTGTAATAAGCAGTAAAAAAGCTCTCCCAAACAAAGCCTAAGGATTTCTTTGAGACCGCTTTTTTACTATTTCTTAAGGCAACTTTCTAATACAAAAATTTATACTTAATAGTTGCTTTAGAAAGCAGTATAAAAGTTGTCTCAAACGAAATATAAATTAGACACACAGAGCTAAGACAATTCAATGTAAAAGAGAATTCAGACTTAGATCTCTACCCTAACAACCAATAAATATGCTGCTTGAGCTAGATCTATTGGTGAGGATTTGGATTATGTTGCACAATAGCTTGTTTATTTTTTAAAGCAGCCATAAAAATATTAGTGTGAACAAAAAGTAATAAACAAACAAAATAAGATATTCAGCACCTATCAACTCCAAATCTCCACCATTTTCAGGTCACCAAAAGGAAAAGAATTCCTCAAAACTACAGCTGGTCAAATTCAGCAGGTATATACAGAATAGATAGATAGATAGATAGATAGAGAGAGAGAGAGAGAGAGATCACATTCCTCTGTTTCTACAAACACTGGTAGTTGAGCCATGTCTATGTTAAACACGAAAAATTATTTTGTGCGGGCCCCAGACGGCGTCCGGAGACCGACTAAAATGTGTCATGTCACTTTTTTGTTCATTACCGGGTGACGTGGAGTGTTCTGGTAAGTCTCCGGACCGTCTAATGTCCGCACAGAATAATCTCTCGTTAAACACACCCTTTAATGTGGAAAAAAATTATGTGCTAAGAAGCTGTTGTTTTTTCAACCATTATTTGCTGCCTTCAACACTCCAGATCAATCCCACAATTCCAATGCTGTTTCTTCAAACAGATAATCTAAAATGGCATCTCCAATCTCATCAACTGCTCTTTCAGCTTCAAACTGAAGATCAAACCAAATTGTACCATCCAAATCTTTCTTTACAGCATCCTTCAATGTGCTTGGAGACTGCACATCCAAATGCCAATTTATCCTTCTACATGCTTCCTTCATGAAATATTCTTGTTTAGGTACAGACCAAATGGTTGGCTTGATTAAAGAAACCCAAGGGGTGCAACTGAAATGCCTCTCCTTGATTTCAGTAAGCACTTCATCTATGGAATCAAAGAGAAGCTTTGGATCATCGATAAACAAGCTGTAGGAGACTTCCAATTCATCAAACAACAAAGCTTCATCGAATTCTGAACATGTTATTAAGTCTTCTTCAGAATCTGGTGAGCCTGAAGCAGCTGCAGAGTCATCAATTTGAGATTCTCTAGGCTTTGTTTTTGTCTCAAGAGTGGTTGCTGCATAGAGAATGTTGGAAGTCAGTTTGATGAAGCAAGATTTAGGCTTCATTTGAGACGGCTTTTTATTACTTCTTAAAACAGCTTTCTAATTTAAAAATTAAGATTTTTATACTAAAAAGCTGCTTTAAGAAGCAGTAAGAAAGCTGTCTCAAACGAAACCTTAACGTAAAGCAAAAACAGAAGTGAAATAGAAAGGTACTTCAATTATATACCATGATCTGTTATCATGCCGGGATCTTCAAGGAAGAGAGGTTCAAGAACTGCAATTGGACTTGGACGGACGGCCTTCTCTACAGCACAATCAGCATCTTTAAGTACTTGTTTTTCTGAAGAACTCGAGGGCATAAGAGTCTTCGCTTCTGATTGTTCCTGGGAGAAACTAATTTGTTAATTCAAGTTCACAGTGGTAATCATGCAAAGGCTGCTTATTGACCACCAACTCACTGGCTCTAGTAGCATGGAAGATTCTTCTTCCACTAATGTTCCACTGGGAAGATCATCTTCATTGATAGTCAACATAGACTGTGCTTCTAGTTGGCTAGCCTCTTCAATTTGAATGCATTCTTTGTCTTCAACTTCCACAATCTCCATAATCTCTGTACAGATTTCAGAACTAGCAGATCAGAAACACTAAGAAAGAAAAATGAAATTTAAAGGCACTGTTTACAGAGGCTAAGAATACCATTTACAGCTTCCGGGATTTTATCAGTGCTGGGGAAGCTCTCCTTATGCCTCAAAAGATCCAAATGTTCTGCAATATTTTTTTGCTTTTGTAGTAAAGAAGTGTTTTCCTGAAGAGACTCGGCTTCCTTGGCATCCTTCTCTCTTGCCAGATTATGTCTTGGAGAGTTAAATCCAGGAAAAGAAAGTATTCTACCCAAGGATTTTGATACCTGAATAGAAGGCAATGATTCGTTTTCACTACAAATACGAAGAAACTCAGCAAGATTTTTCCTGGCTTCATCACAGAAAGCAGCTTCTGTGTAGAGCACACTAGGAGCAGCATTTTTGCTCAATTTCTTGCGACCAGCAGTTTTCGAAGCAATTGAAAATTGATTTTTCTTCTGAATTTCTACGGTATCCGATCTATGATTTTTCTTCTGAATTTCTTTGGTATCCGATCTATTTTCTCTGCCATTTTCAGTGTGTTCTCTACTGCTAGAAGTTGCATTCTTTCTTGATATCTCTTTACCATATGGGATTTTATGCATAATGCCATCCATGGCAATTCGGTCCTTCCCCCTTTTGCTTGGTCCAATTACATTTCTGAACCTCCTCGTGATTTCTTTGACAGAAAAATTAGAGGAAAGCCTTTCTCTATCTTCCTTGTTTTCAATATTACAATATGATGGAATAGAAGCTATTGGATTTATCATACTTGAAAGATTTTGATTTCTCAACTGAGTGGGCTTCAAAACAACAATGGTGTCTGGACCTTTAGCATCATCTCTTTCATTTGATTGGCACACTACTGTTAACTTATCTTTTGTCCGAAATGAGTAAGGACCACTTTGTTTTTGAAACCTTTTTGATACTGGGAGTTCACTGAACAACTGATTTTGTATAGAAGCTTTACCACATTGAACATTTTGAAATTCTTGAATATGCTTTCGGATCGGTGAATTTGGATCTTGAAGAATCTCGAGGAATAGCTCCTTGTTTGAATTCAGAATCTCGAACACATTAACGATGTCCTTTGGTTGATGAACCTCTTTGTTCTCACTTGAGTTGATAGAATTCTGTCTTAGAAAGGCCTCACTTAAATCAACAATGGCCTTCTGAAGAACAGTCACAGATGCAACATCATCCTCACTCATTTTTAGATCGCTCTCAATTGCAGGGAAAGGAAACTGACCTGTCTTATTTTCATATTCAAATTGTTTTCTTTCCCAATACAAGCCATTTTTGCAGTAATCTAACATAAATTCACCGAGGTCTATGTCAGATGAAAGCAATGTTGACATATTGGGATAATCGGATTGCTGTGACATCAAACTTGGAGAAGAATTTAAATTATTTTTAGAGCCAACTACACCATTCTTAGTTGATTCCTTGTGATTCTTCTCAACATTGGCTCCAATTCCCAACTCAGCTTTTATCCATTCTATTTTTGAATCAAATTCCTTCCTCGAGTGATTTGATCTTGGAATTTCTTTTTTCCTGAGTGTGTTGAAACTAGAAACACCCAAATCAACCCTGTTATCTTCCTCAGGTTCAGTATCCTGAAACAAACAGGCCAAGTTTTCATTAAATTGCAATTCTCTGCTGGATAACGCATATTAGGAGTCAACACGAAGAAATCGAAATGCCACTCAATTACAAACTTTAAGTGTTTTTTTTTTTCTTCTCAACCATGTAAATTCGCAAATATTTGCTTCTAGGAGGAGGATAATGCTAACTTACAGATATGGGGGTTATATTCTCAGCATCTCCATGATTTTCCTCTATATTATTACATGGGAGACCAACTTTGTTTCTTGAATTGCTAATGCCTGCAAAAGAGAATAAACAACAGAAGGGATTGAACAAGAGAACCAAAATATCATGATAAAAATATTTTTGTATTTAATATAGCATGAAGTGCAGTTCTTGCGCTGGTATGGAAGTAATTCTTAGTAGGACTGATGGTCAAAGCAAGATTCATAGTCAATGTGAAATGACAGCAGTATAGTACTTAAGTGTGATGGGAATGAACCTAAAAGTTGAAGGATGGTCATCCAAGCATATATAGTAATGGTAAAGGAAGAAAATTGGCAAGCATTATTTGCAAAATATAGCATAATATATATCATACATTGTATACCATATACTCCTGTATTCAAATGTAGCAACATACAAATTTCCCATGCATTAAGATCATAGATTTAGGTACTGTATTCACTTAATGTAGGTGTGAGAAAATAAGAAAAATGATCTCTCGGCTCTTTATGAAAGATCAAAATAGTCGCCGAATATATTAAAAGAACATTTTGGTCCCTCAACTCTTTAAAGAGGAATCAAAATAGTCCCACTATAGGAATATCTTCATTCCTCTTTAAAAACTTGTGGAATCAAAATGGTTATTTAATATAGTCGAGGGCCATTTTGATCCTTCATTAAAAATCAGGGACTATTTTAATCATTTTCTCATATAAGTGTCTATTTATAGGCATCCATGCCGAATATAATAGGAATGAATAAATAGGAGATATCATAAGGGTGAAAACATACATATTTCCCATAATTAGAAATCCCCATTATATAAACCTTGCATAATATTATTTTTTAATATGTATCATATGCTAACTCTCTCCCTTAAGCTTGTGCATATATATCTCATAGCTTTGGCTTGTTACATAATCGAGAAAACAAGAAATGCTAGCTAAAGTGATTAGCCACTAGTTCTAAACTAGAAAATTGGTAAGTGATATGATAGGAAATACTTGAGTTCGCAAGTAATCCTAAGGTAATACTTGAGTTCGCAAGCAAACCTATCACAAGTTGGTGAACAAACAGCAACGAAACTGCTGTTTGCAGCATGAAAACAGCCCCAAACCGTGGAAAACAACAAAGAAACTGAGTAAAAATCCGAAGAAAATCAAGCCAACCTCTTGTGTTCCACTAGTAGGTGAAAGAAGACAACAACTATACAAAATTCTTCAATTCAAGAGGAAGAGAACTCTCCAAAGTCTCTAGCCAAGAAGACTAGAGCCCAAGCCTCCAAGAAGATCCCAAAAATCAGCCCAAATTCAAGATTAGACCCTAAATCCCCCTTAGCCCCTAATTAACTCCAAAGCCCCCATACAAAAATCCCTAAACAGCCCTTCTATTCAAATTTCCCCCCTTCCCATTCAAAATTTCCCTCTAACACTTCAATTAAACCCAATCATGGGCCCCAAGGCTTCCGCCCCCCTCTTGCCCATTTCCGCCCCATGTGGGACCCGCTTGGAGTAAGTAAGGACCGGTTCAGTCGACCCAGGAGAGGCCGGCCTAATATGATACTCTTCTTATGGTACACGTCAGAGGCACAACATAGCCAGGCACGTTCAATGGAAAATAAAATGGAGATGATTGTACTTTTATTGGTGCAAAATTAGACGATGCTCCTATAATAAATAAAATGTAAAAAGAATAAATTTTATTTAAATGAATGGAATTTTAATCTATATTTATATTAAATACTTATATGTATGTTAAATAAAAATTTTGACAAATGAACATGACTACTTATATGCATGTTAAATTGTTATACTATAAATTGTAATTGTCTGTTGAGTTTATTATGAAAAACTCAAATTTTTTAAATTGAAATATCAGGTAAATCTCCTATGGATTAAATGACTTAAGGAGAACATATTATATAAAGAATAAGAGAATCAAATGAAAATATGTAAGAATTATTTTGTTATATGTTCAAATTGGAAAATTTTTGTTTTAGCAGCTCTTCAATTATATTTTAGACATTAGTTCATTGAGTAATCATTGTTATTGAAAGAACTGTAATAATAGTCTGACCGTATATTCTTGCCTCATTAAATTGAGCTTTCAGGCCAAGTTGTAACAAATTCAACTGATGGTTCTCGAAATATGGAGAAAGGGTGAAAGGAGTACCAATGGTCAAGTAGTTTATGCGACCTTCCTCTTTCTAGAGCTGAAATCTTGAAAAATACCATGAGAGAATTTAAAGGTTCCTGATAATTGTGAGTCTTAAGAAGTTAGTGATTAGATCATAAATTAATTGAAAAAGACAGGTTCTGAGAGATATGCAACATGCTTTCTAGAAATGGGAGAAGGTGAACTATCAAAAAATAATAACAGGGGAAGAGAGCACATGTGAAGCAATGAAAAAGAGGACGGTTAAATGTCATTAGAGAAGAGAAAATTGAAATCTAAATCCCATGATAAACCAACTGAATCAGCTACAACAGACCTAAATGAAGAGACAACACAAAAGACAAAGATAGATGGCTATGATTGTTGAAGAAATCTGTCATAGTATTCATAAGAAAGTGCAACTGATTATAAAGAGAAGGCACCGGGAGTCTCACTAAATGTCAAAGTATGTTGAGCAACAAAGGGATAACCAAATTTCTCTCAATAAAGATCAGGAGGATGATTAGTGTGATTGCAATGAGGAGAAAAGGAAAAGGTATTTTGGCATGGCCACAACCACTATTACTCTATCCATCGCTAGAAACAACCTTCAAAGCAAATTTATTTGCATATAGAGATGGATAGTTTGGTAATGTGAAGAACTAGAGAGAGTAGTCATAATATAAGGCATTTTGAAGTTGGGCATTATTTGGGATTATATACCTTGCAAGAAAGGTGCAGAATGGAGAGAAATTGGGCAACAAGGAATTCTATGCTTTGCTTTTTAGCCTAGCTCTGATATCATCTTGTGAGGAAAGATTGTGTTATCTTATTCATTAAATATGGGTGCCAATTCATAAGTGTATAAGATAAATACAATAGAAAACAAATAATGGGGAGAATAATAACAATTAAAGGAGAATAAATACATATTTCCCCAACTCGAAAGCTTTCCTAATATTATTTTCCTAACATTCCTTATATGCCAACATCATGAAAAATGCAAACAAATGAAAAAAAAAATGAATATTATGAGTTGTATGTAGATTGTCACATAAAAGAATTTAGTTAATAGCATGTACTTAATATAAAAAGTGGAGGAATTTTGAAAGCATATTCAAGTACCAAGAATTATACAAGTTTTACACATCTTGAATGAATGATTCTCTTGCTTAAGGAGTTTCTCACCTAAATTTCTAGAACTACCACATTTTTTATCTGAAAGAAACCTTTGAGTAGAACGTCCTCGGCGAAAGTCAAAAATACTGATCAGACCCTGCATGCAACCTACATTCTCCTTTTTCCATCGTGTAAAACGTTTGTGTTTCTTTGTCATTATTAGCGCCAAACTGCAACTCTTGGCAAATTGAAGACTAAGCCAAAAAAGGACCTATATGATAGCAGAATAAAAGAAAGAGGTCAGAATTCAGCTCTACAGACAAAATAAAAATCAAAGAATGACATGGTAACATCATACAAATAGTGAACTATTTTTTTTTTAGATTGTCCCGTGAAATACATATAGTAGAATTTACATCATTTTACTAGGAAGCAGTGTATTTATTCCAGACTTTTACATTTTCTTGCTTCCCTTTATGTCCTCATATAGCCAACATCTAGCAGTATAATGATGTTTATAGAGCATTGACTTACTCAAACATCCCAACCTCACATACATTTCATGATAAGCATAGCAACCATTAGGCAAGAAGGCTTTTCTTCTGATAAGTTGCAAATGGTTTAGGAATTCAAGTGGTTGGCTTTTTTTTTTTTTTTTGTTAAATTTAGTCACAGAAGGTTATTAATCTGAAGGATTGAATCAAAATTAAACTGATTTCTATCGTAAAGCTCTAACTTAGTTAGTATGTTCCTTAGTTCTCCGAATAGAGTACACATGCTTCAGTTTAACCTATAACTTATTTAACTAAATATTCATTAGCTCATTTTATGAAATTTGGTACATAACTAGCCTTATGCCATAATTTTCTACAACTAGCTTCATGCCTATTTATTTTCAATTTTTCTTATGCTCTACTTTCAACTAATAAAATGTTTGGGATAGATTTCTAGCCTTCAAGAAAAAAATTAACAGATTTCTTTCTTGTGTGTGCATATATTTTTGGTTGGATTGAATGGGTTGAAACTTATTCCAGGATCTCTAAAATAGAGGTAATCCTGATATAGTAGGGAGGTTGGATTTGAATAAGAGTAGATTAGCCCATTTGGATTAAAGAATCAAGAAAGCCAAAATATAATACCTTTTTTTAAGAATAGATGTTTAACCTAAACATGTGCTGGTTGGTCTAAAATAAAGGCATTTTTATTCTCATTGAGATGTTAAAGTTACTCAACAAGTGTGTTGCTCATAATCATGAAGCTACGCAAGAGGTTCATGTGCAATACAACTCTTTTTAGTCATATTTTCAAACAAATAAAAATATACAACATTAGGCCTTGAAAAACAAAGAGGCTAAACAACATCACCAAAATGAGTTGATCTTAAAGATTTGTCGAGTTACAATAATATTAAGCATCTTCTACAAGAGTTTCTCTTAATAAAAACTCACAGAAACGCATTAAAGATTAATCTCTGCCTATGAAGATCAAAGAATTTATGACTCATAATCCACTAATCAAGTTTTCAAGTAGTCATTTGTCATTTTTTTTAATCCAACTGAAGGAATTTGTGTATCACAGACTAGACTGATGCAAAATATGCTAAGAGGGCTCTAAATTCATGGAACAACATGAGACCTAATAGACATTTCAACAATCCAGATCACTACAACTACAAATAAAAGCTAAATAAAGAACCAAATTACCTGGCATACAAGAATTCACTACGAGGTGCCAAAGAAGAGTTGCATCAACTAGGCACTCAAAACAAAGTTTCAATATCAGCACTTCAGTTCTCTAAAATAATCAAAATCTATAGCCCATGAGATGCTTCTGTTCTCCTAGGCTGCAAGGAATCAGAAACTTTTCTTCCTCTGTACACCAAATCCCACACCTCTCTTCCTGTTTTTTTAATTCAAATAACAGCCTTTTCTTCCATCCTCACAAAACTATCGCATGTGAATCAGAAGCTATATCTAGAAAGTTGAAATTTCACTTTGGAGCAGGAATCTCGAATCAAAACGACAGCACTTGAACTGCAAATTGCCAGCTTTACAATGAATTTTATTTATGATCCACTGGATTCTAAATTCACAGCACAAGAAAAGAATCTCCAAATCCTCTGTTTTCAGCAATATTTGATGTCACTTCTTCCCTTCTGCAAACCAGCTCAGGAAAACAAAAACCAAGCTGCTTCTCTTCACAAAACTACGGATATTATCGGCAGAAAATGGGGGAAATACGTGAAATTCACCTCGAAATTTTGGACCTTTCTGCGCTTCAACGCCAATAGTTCAAAGACTCGTTTCATCAAACATCTTCATGACTCAATCTTCCACCGACTTGTTCGAGAACAATTGAAGGAGGCACGGAATGGATGTAAAGCGTAAAGAGAAAGAAAGGTAAGTAGAGATATAACAGCGAGCTCCTGCGTGGGCCGCCCATTACCAAAAAGTCCTCCATAGATCAAAAGCGATTGGCATCTCCACAATTTTCGCTCTTTTTCTCTCTCTAAAACTCCTTTTCGTCCTTCCGCCAGCGACAACCCGTCTTTTTTTGGTACGAAGAACCGCCAGCGACTATAGGCTGTTCTTCCTCTGCGCTTCGTTCCTTCCTTTCGGTTTTCTCTTTTGTACGCCAAGGGTAAAAGTGGAGGAGGAAATGGAAAACTTGGCAAAATTGAATATTGATAACAGATTTAACATATTCTTATTGTCAAAATGCTCACTCTAAAAAACCATCATGATCCTGCGACAAAAAGAATGGCTTTGTGGGGGAATTTTAATAGGAAATCAGAAATCTTTCGGGCTTGATACCAAAAACTGGCTCTTTTAATACAAATTGGTTTCTCTATTTCTGCGTGTGCTGCTACTTTTTGGCGAAGGAATTGTCTTGTTGGATGCAATTATGCAAAACATCTTTTTGGAAGTATTTTCATACCCTTGTAATGTCACTTTCAAAACTTATTTTCTTGAAAAAAAAAAAGTATGATTAACTATTCAAATAATAGTTTTAAAATTCTGCATATCTGAAATGATATTCGTTTATTAACTCTATAAATGGAATATTTTAATACTAACATTATCTAGTAATTTAAAGTACCTTAATAATAGTTTTAATACCCCTTATAATTTACTGGTTGGATGATTTGACTCCAACTACAAGATCTTGAGCTTGAGATCTAACGAGTAACAATCTGCATAAAAAACAGACCAGCCTGATCAACCATGCAAGTTAATATCTAACATGTTCTTTATAGTTGTTGTCATATCTCGAGTCTGAAAGACGGTACATCTCAGCAGCACAAAACGTGATGAAAAGTTAGAATATATGCTTTGTACTCAAAAAGAGAAGTGCATAAACCAATTATATGAGAGAAAAGCAATGAAAAAAATCAAATATTCATTTCATTAATATGAATTCAAATAATTGTATCAAGATAATATGACTACTACAAGTTAAGTAAGTTCGAAAGAAATAACAACATTAAGGGAAGTAACCAAACTCACAACAACATAACATAAAAGAATTACTAAAAATATAAAAAGACTAACTATAATATCTACTGTCGATAATTATGCTCCTGAAGTGGTTGTTGGCTAAAAATGTCTGAAGAACCTGCTATAATAAGAGACAATGGGTGAGCTTGATAAATCAAACTAAGTAACCAACATTTATCAAAGCATAAACAGCAAAGGAGTGTGGTATATAGTATGAACAATCAAAAAGTGAGAGTAATAACCTATCGTCGTTATATTAAAGTGACAATGACGCATGTCATGTCTCCTACAATGAAATATGCTGGTGTATATACTTGTTGTAGGCTGGAATATCGCGGTGTTAGAGTTAGAAATTTTTTCATCTTAGCGTTGTACGAATATCCAGCACATGAACATAAGAAAAATAAATACACTGAGATTTTTACGTGGAAATCCTGGAAAGAGAAAAAACCACGGGGTCATGCCCAGTCGGAAGAATTCCACTAGTGTTTGTCTGAGATCTAAGAGGCTGACTCATCCTTAAAATCTAGGATGATCAGATTACAATGATTCACTTTTGAATTGAAGTCTAGATACAAACAAGTTTTGTATTCGAGCTGAATTCATAGTTACTTAGAATTATGGCGTCACTTAGAAATCGGGCGGAGTTCTGGCTTCACTGGAAAGTCGGGCGGAATTCCGGCGTCACTTGGGCGTCGGGCAGAATTCCAGCGTCACTTCGGAGTCGGGCAAAATTCTGGCATCACTTGGGCGTCGGGCAAAATTTTGGCGGTGGTCGAGGAGGAGTTTCTTCCCTCCTATCATTCTCTTCTTCTTCTTCTTGTTGGGTCCCCTCTCAAGAGAAATGAGGGGTTATTTATAGTTTTTTTTAGGATGGCATGACCCGTAAATAGGAAGATGATCAAGGGCAAGTGTGGAGTGGTTCAGATGAACGGTCGATATTGAATCCCTTGATCGTGGGTCGTTTGTCATACATTTGAAGGTCTTAATGATATTGGAATTCGGCGATCTTGGACTCGTTGGATTCGTCTCGTTGAGCTGCTTGATTCGACTATAAGCATGTCATGTTTGAAAGCTGTTTGATAATCCAAATTATGGTTTGAACCTTCCAATAACTCTTCAGGTCTTCAATTCGGAGGCTCAGATCGAGTTGAATTTGGTGTCGTTGGGTTCATATTTCTGAGACACTCAGTTTGACTTTAAGATTGCTGAAATCGGAATTCAGGTGATCCCGGATTTAGTTTTTGAAGTTTCCGGTTTGATTTTGCCTCGAGATTCGTGCCTGATCAAGATAATTTTTTGATGATATACCATTATTAAATAGCTACTATGTCAAATCATTTAAATGCTTATAAATGGAGCACACTAAATATCCTTGTACCTCAAATAACTTACCAATCATTTATTATTTTTAATTCATGCCTTATTATATTTAACATTTATATACATACAATATAGTCGGTTTATCAAATATCAATCACCTTCCATCAACCCAAGGAAATCCAATGATTTCCTATAATGTCCTCACTCTATGGGCTTGTCAGCCCCGGATAACCAATAACCAATAGGGGTTCTACCAACATACTCATCAATGCACCAAATCATATGATTTTCCAAAATTTTCATAAGCATCGTTTAATGAATTTTTATAGTTTCAATGAACTTTTATAGTTTCAATATGACGAATATTCTTTCATAATAAAATATGAATTGCCAATGATAATATTCATTGCATTCAATTAGAGCATGTATATAAAAATATAAACAAATTGATTTACATAAGGTTATGCAACAATAAATATATTCTATTTAAGAATCTTGCTAATTCATTATGAGTATAAGTATAAAATAAAAGAATTTATAATAACAAGATTGGCAGTAAAATCAGTTACTAAAACTCATTACAAATAGTGTGAATTTATGCCCTTTAACAAGAAAGGGTATGCTTACACCAAACTACACTACGAGGGCAACAACTCGAAGGTCCTACAAACAAGAGTCATGTTGAAAGACTTCAATGCTTGAAACATAGGGTTTACAAAACACAAGCTTAATTATATATATTTATATAATATTATTCAAGTCTAAAGGATAATATAAGGTTATATAAAAATCGACCATCATATATAAGTAAGGCTTTCTCCCAAAGCAAGCTAAACTAATAAAAATAAAAATAAAATGATACAATTTAAATAAAAACCTACCAATCAAAACTAGTTAAAATGTAAGAGAAAAAATGATTATATAATTTGATAAACATGAAAAAGAAAATAAAAGAAAAGAGGAAAGAAGGAAAGGGATGAGTGGAAAAACTTATTACAAAAGGAGAAGATATTGAGAAGAGTTCGCTAAGAGCTAGCATTGTGAGAAGGAAACAAAGGAGGAGAACGGAGGATACCAGCAACTGCTAAGAAGAGAAAGAAGAGGAGTCGTTGCCCTAGATTCTCTGTTATGTTTAAATGGCATGAGAGAGATGCTATCGGTGGGAGAAATAAAAAAAGCAGGATGAATCACATGATTTTTGGTTTTGTAGAGAGAAAATTGTGGTTGTGGATGTCATTCGATCCGCACGAGCACTAAAGGGGCAAAGATATGTCTAGACTGGTTCAGTCCAGTTCCAGATTATTACAGTTGTCACCTCATGCCCTTTTTACTTAGGAATCTGAGTTCCTACGACACAATCAAGAGAATGGAGGATTGGTGAGAGAGGTTGAGAAAAAAGAGGGGAGCTCGCTCACTCCGACAGGTGAAAGGATGGTGATCAATTGAAAGCAATGAGAGGATGGAAGTAGACTGCTAGGGTATAGTGAATGAAAACAAAAGCAAAAGCAAGCAAGAGGAGATCCTAGTCCCATATTGGACAATTGTGGTGACTTCAACAAGTCTTTTGAGAGGAATCTAGAGTAGGAGATGAGAGAAGTCTTTTTGTAGGGATTTGAGATATTTCACCCCATGTTTTTGTCTCTCCAATGTATAGATTCAACAATATAAATTAATGATAGTAAGTAGGTTTTTCAAATGATAACTTGAAAGTGTCGATGAAAAAGTTTAGTGAACTATATGTATAAGAGAAAGATCAAATACAATTAAGGATTATGGAGGGTTAACTATAAAGTATAAATTAGGAGAAATTCGTGGATTCATTAATTGCATCAATTAACATTTTAACTTAACTATTTTATTCATTAATGTTTTGATGTTCAATGTTGTAAATTTATAATTGCTTTGATGTTCAATTAACATATTTATAATTAGGTTGATATATTATTCATTATTATTTTATCTCTTTTAATTGATCATATATATGCACTTCAGAAAAATCGTTCATTACCAGCGGCGATTTTCAGCGGTATATGTCAATTTTCCGACGGTTTTTAAAGCGCTGGCCGAAATAAGCCACCCAGGAAATGAAAACCGGTGGTAATATTTTTCGGTGGTTTTCCGGTGGCTATAATAGCCGGAAATTACTGAGCCCAAAACAGCAGATAAACCGCCAGAATATTTCGGCCCAAATACCGCTGGTCATTCTCGACGGTCATTTCACCACTGGAAATTTTGCCAGTCAGACCCAATGCTTTAACACCATTTGGTACCGGCAGTCAGACCGCTGGAAAATCCGTTAATATTCAATGAATTTCCTGTAGTGATGCCACATACCTTATTGTTTATATTTTGTGGGCTTATTTCTTGTAAACTTATGCCAATTATTCTAAAAAATTTAGGACACTAATTTTGCATAATATAGATCAGAAACTTTTAGGCTCATGCTTCTTGGAGGTGATTAAGGTTATGTTTGGGAAAGCTTTTTTAGTGTTCTCTAAAGTTGTTTTTTAATATAAAATTTTAAATTTAAGAAATTTTTGCACTAAAAAATTACTTTAGAAAGCAATTAAAAAATTGTCTCAAATAAAGACTAAAATTAGATTCATTTAATTAATTCAATAGTGTAATTAAATTTTATTTGAGTAAATGTCGGACTTAAATAATAGTATGGGGCCCATCGCAAAGGTATTTGATCTTAAGAGAACTTTCACACATATTTTTCTAAAAGAAATAAATAAAATAATGAACATATTTATCTAATTTTTCTCATTATAGGACATATAAAGTCAAGTTTCCCTTATCTAAATCCTCTTTTTGGTGCATCAACAACACAAAGCGTCTAAAATATTTTTAATAAAATTATAAAGGCCATGTTGGTGGGGCCTGTGGATAGAAAGCCTTAGGGACGAAGACAAAGCATAATAAATTAGAGAAATGAGATTAATATGATATCCAATCAAATTTAAGCTAAGTTGTTAGAAAATTTTGTACTAGAAATCTGTTGGAATATATTTCAATTTTTTTGAAATACAAAGAACAAGAGCTAGTGGTGATTAGGAGGCCGA